CATGGGCGCGCACTCTATCTGCAATGCCAAGCTTGGGCGCGCATGGGCGCGCACTTTATCTGCAATGCCAAGCTTGGGCGCACATGGGCGCGCACTCTAACTGCAATGTCAAGCTTGGGCTTGCACGGGCGCGCACTCTTACTGCTATTCCAAGCTTAGGCGCGCACGGGCGCGCACTCTTACTGCTATTCCAAGCTTGGGCGTGCACGGGCACACACTCAAAAATAATATTTGGTCTGGGCACGCGCGGGCGCGCACTTATAATATCTGGTCTGGGTGCGCGCGAGCGCACACTTAAAATATAATATCTGGTCTGGGCGCGAGCGGGCGCACACTTAAAATATAATATTTGGTCTGGGCGCGCGCGAGCGCACACTCCAAATAATATCTGGCCTTGGCGCGCGTGGGTGCACACTTAAAATATAATATCTGGTCTGGGCGCGCGCGAGCGCACACTCAAAATAATATCTGGTCTGGGCACGCGCGGGCGCGCATTTAAAAATAATATCTTATCTGGGCCTGCACTATGCGGCAATATCCCAAGAAGAAAAGAGTGCTGCCCAGCATTGCTAAGTTCAAGCGGAGACTGACCATTATTACCGTTCCGAGCATGAGCATAGTCCGGCCAAACAGTCCACAGTATGGTGTTACCGCAATCTACCACAGTCTACCGCGTCACAATCCACTGTTTACTATAGTCCAGCATTACCGCATTGAGTGGGAACGCTGAAAAACAGTCCACAGTTTACCGCATCTCAGTCCACTGTTTTACTATGGGGTTGCGTTTGGGGGAAGGATGGGAGGAAGGCAATTTTGCTTGAGTTTGACTGGGTCTATCAAAGGCTGGGCAAGTCTCCATAAGTTTGGGGAGGCCCAGTGCTATGTTTATTTTGAGTTGCTTGGAGAACCAGACATGTTCCATAAGTTTGGGTGGTCTGGTTGCTCTGATTTGCAAGGGCTGACTGTGATTGACTTTTCAGGGACCAAGCATCTTCTATAAGTTTGGGTGGCTTGGTCGCCTTGTTTACTTTGGGTTTCTTTTAGTTCTTTTGGTTCTGAACGAGGAGGTCTGAGCATGTTCCATAAGTTTGGGTGGCTCAGCCTCTTCCTGTTTTGGCTTTAAGGGAAAGAATTAGGCAGAGGACCAGACATGTTCCATAAGTTTGAATGGTCTTGGTCCAATGTCACGCATATGCTGGAACCAAAAGGTTATAACTTGGCTATACTTTACTATTATTTTATCTATGAACAAGCTAGTCAGACAGGGTTCCATAAGTTTGGGTGGTCTGACGATAGCTTATCACCAACTGAAGAGAGTATTAACTAAGAATAGATTTTGTGGTGGTCCAATGTCACGCACATATTGGAACCAAAAAACTATAACTTGGTTATACTTTACTATTATTTTATCTATGAATAGGCTAGTCAGACAGGGTTCCATAAGTTTGGGTGATCTGACTATAGCTTATCACTAACTGAAGAGAGTATTAACTAAGAATAAATTTGTGGTACGAAGGGGCAGACTGAATCTTGAGCTAAAAATGATCCGTTCAGTTATATGCTACCTCAAAAAACTAACTGGAGATAATTATATAAGACTGGGATACTTAAACAGTTCAGGGCGACTAGGGTGGCCTAGTCATATGCCCAAAGAAGAGAAAAGTTGTTGTGCCCTGTGTTTGTGTATACTGAGCTAGACATGTTCCATAAGTTTGGGTGGTCTAGTTGTATGCCCTATGTAAGCTGGGTATAAAGGGATAAATCATTGAAAGATCATGAACTATTGTTTGGCAAGGTTGACTTGGGGATGATGAGAGTACTTACCTTTGTGGTTTGACCTTGCATTTGACTGAGTGAGATTACTACTTGGTCTAAGTTTCAGTTGATAGGTAGTCGCTTTAGATGCTCGCCACGTGCTAGAGCCATAGGAGTTAATTTCAATTTCTGCATTTTCTGAGCGAAGTTTATTTTTGCTTAGGTCAAATTCTGCATTTTCTGGGATCATTTATTGCACTTGGTCTTGTATAAATCTTGGTAAGCTACTTTCTCTATGGGAAGCGTTGCCAAAATTTCTACAAAACCAAGGAGTTAGTCATATTTTGTCTTTTCAGGGTTCAGTTTGTCTGACTTCTTGGCTTGGTAGAAATCTGGAAAGCCTCATTTTCTAAAGGGAGTGCTGCCCAAATCTTTGTTACTTCAGGGAGTTCGACAAAAATTGGACCTTGAGAAGTCAAAGTCACTTTAGACTCTAAACTAAGCTCTATATAAATCTTGGATTAACACTTTTCCAAAGGGAGTGCTGCTGAAATTTCTACAAATCTAAGGAGTTACTTAAATTTTGTCTTAGTTGAACTCAAGTCTTGCTTCTGAGTTCATATCCGACTTAGTAAAAATCTGAAAAGGATTTTTTTATGAAGGGAGTGCTGCCCAAATTTTTACTAATTCAGGGAGTTAGAAAAAATTTGACTTTTTTCAGAATTAGAGATTGCTTTTGTTTTCATATTTGAGTTATTATAAATTTTGGAAAGACAATTTTCCTACGGAAAGCGCTGCCGAAATTTTCTTAGTTTAAAGGAGATAGGTTATATTTCAACTGGCGGCGATTCTGGGGATTCACTCTGTATAGAGGAGATCCGGCCAGAATCTACCTCTTCGTTAGGTACCTGCTTAGAGATAGATTTAGACTTAGTTAATTAAGAACGATGCTTGAGTGAGATCGTGATATGGAGATTATTCTTCATGGACTTATAGATGTAGCTTGGGGATTGGCCTGTCATGTGCTATAGGTCCTCTTGATCGTTTAACTCAAGATTTGAACTAGATTCAACTTGATCCTACGAGGATCATCTTTTGCTATCGTTGATAACAGGTCGGTTGCTGATTCGTCGGTCTACGACTCAACTCCAATTCACCCTCAATTCTCAACCTAAAAAACTTTAGCCCTGGTGGGTTTTATTGTTTTATTAAGGTTTTCACCCGGACTTTTATTGAATGGCCATTTAACAAAGGTACTGAGTATTTAATTATGGAAGGTTGAACAAAGGTTGGGGCTTACATGGCTAAAGCAAGGGGTATGAGTATCGAGAATGGTTGAAGTTGACTCCG